CTGCTGCCCAGCACCTCCCCGGCCAGCAGCACCTCTCCCAGCATTAGGCCGTATCTAAACTCGTTAACTTCTAATTACTACCTTGCCGCTGCCTGAGCGGACTGGCGCCGCGCCACCAACATCTCTATTAAAATTGAATTTCTGCCCATCATAACTAATTTGGGTACCTTGCCTTCCTCCCCTGCAGCTCCCGTTCCAGGCAAAATGTCCAAACCCTGATCCCGACGCACAGGCTGCAGAGCGGAGGGGAAGGGACGGGCCGCGATCCGCACGGCCGCTCGGCTCCAGCACCGCAGAGCCGCCCTGCATCGCGTTTCCCCGCGCGCCTGTTTGTTTTCTCGCTTGCTTTCTTAATCCTTTCTGGCTCGGAGCCGGAGCTGGGGCTTCACTGGGGCTCCGAGAAACGGGAGTCACCTTGGCCCGGAGGACACGGAGCTCCGGAGCAGCACGAGGGGACACTGAGGCACGGAGCGGCCAGGGGGCTGGCCCCGAAACCAGAGGACCCCCTGCTCCCAGCCTGGCTTTGGGCACCCCCGGGTGCTCTGCGGCCCCCCATGCCGCTCGCGCTGCGCGTCCCGCAATCCAATTTAATGGTTGACATTTCGCATTATTCCCGGACGTTTCGCATTATTCCCACCACGGCCGCCCCGTGCTCCCTCCCGGCCCCTGGGCACCTCGCTAATCCCGGTCGTGCTCCCTGGCGCACGGATGGGAATGGAGCCCAGCGCGTGGAGTTGGGAAGCTGAAGGGCTCCACGCAGCACCCGAGGGGGTGGCCACGGTGCTGGAGGAAAAGGGAGACGTGGTGCAGCCGCCTCATCCGCATTCCCGGCATCCCGGAGCAGCTCCGCGTTGCTGTAGCAACCCAAAGCCTTTGGATTCGATGCCTTTAAATGGGGAACGGCTTCTCTCGGGCTGAATTATTGATTACAACAGAGCAGGCGGCGTGTGCACGCAGAGGAGCTCCCCACGCGCGCGGCCCGGCCGGCCACCAGCGAGACACACATCCCGGAGCCCTTCTCTTGCCTTGGAAAAATGTCCCCTGGATGGAGATGGGAAGGGCACTGGGCTCAGCACCCCCATGCTGCAGCCTCCAAACCCCCAACATGGGGTTCGATGCCCAAGACCCAGCCCAGCACCTGCACTCTGGGTCAGCATCCTGCATCCCACATCCTGCATCCCACATCCTGCATCCCACATCCCAGAGATGCTCCTGCATCCCGCCCGCATCCCCGCGCTCACCGGTACTCCAGGGAGAACTTGGTGAGCTCGCGGCTGTTATGGAGCCACTTGAACTCAAGGGGCCAGCTGCCCTCGGCCATGCACGTCAGCACCAGGCGGTTCCCCTCCAGGTGGACCTGGCTCCGCACGGGCTCCGTCTTAAAGTACGGGGAGACGTCGTCTGCGGGGAGAGAAGGGAGAGAAGAGCTGAGAGCTGCCGCACACCACAGCCACCCACCCTGGCCCCATGACCGCGGGGAGGACCACGAGCAGGGAAGACATCAATGAAGAAAGACCCCAACCAGGAAAGACCCCAAGCAAGGAAGACCCTGACAAAGAAAGATCCCAGCCAAGCAAGATGCCGACCAGGGAAGACCCTGTTCAGGGAAGACCCAACTAAGGAGGACTTCGACCAAGGAAGACCTTGACCAAGGACGACGCCGACCAGGGAAGACACTGACCAGGGAAGACCCCAACAAAGGAAGACCCCAACCACAGAAGGCCCCGACCTTTTCATTTCAGACATGCCCTGAGCCTCGGAGCACACGTGCAGATGGGCATGGGGCAAAGCCAACCTCCAACGCCCCCATCCCCTGTCACGCTGCGTGTCCCTGGCGCAGGGACCGCTCCACCTGGGCACATCCCCGCCAACGCGCCACGCTGCGAGCTCAGCCCAGCTCGGTTTATCTAAGCTGCCTTCTCTCTTCATTCCCCGCTGCCTTTGTAGTGTTTTAGCAGCTCTGAGCTTTCAGCTGGGGGGTAAAAGGGGGCGGAGGGGCCAGGAGCCGAGTGAGACATAAACACTTACTCCTCTCCTGTTTTATTTGCTAAGTAAAACTATAAATCGAAACACACAGCTCCATTTTCTGCTTAACAAATGGAAGCCCTTTCACTTCAAAGACACATTCATATTCCCCAGCAGCTTTCAAGTGCGCTTTCAATCACGGCTCCCGGTTTGTTCTTGGGGGCAGGCTGCTGCTTGCTTGCACGCGCGCTCGGCTCCTTCTCGGTCCTTGACACCGGGGCCAGCTGCAGCGCGGGGCCTGCGGGCCCCAGCCTCCCGCGGCCCCGAGCAGGGGTGTCACGAGTTGGCCGGAGCTCAGAGCTGCCAACTTTGGGAAAGGCACCAAGAATGTCTTGAAAACACACAAAACCAGCACAGGGCTGCACGTGGGCAGCGGGAGATGTGCAGGGATCTGCACACCCGTGGAGCAAGAGCTGCGTCTGCACGTAGCGCAGGTCACATTGCACGTACAGGGCCGAGCGTGCACACACTTGCATCACACCTGTGCATGGGCATGTGCATGCACACCTGTGCATGGAGATTTGCATGCACGCATGTGCACGTGGACATGCATGGGGACATGCATGCATGCACGTCCCCACCACAGCACGGCAGAGGCAGAGACGAGCTTGACCTGCAATGCCAGAGCTTTCGCCCACGTCGGATGAGTTAGACCAGGGCACCTCTGGGATTACCGCAGGCTCCCCGCACCGCCTGTCCCCGCTCCCGGTTCACCCAGCTTGGAGCAGCAGAGGCAGCACTGGGATGACCTGGGCTGAGACCCGGCGCACTCGCTGCATGTGCCCGTGCCCAGCCCTGCGCGCAGCCCAGCGCAGCGGGGCTCTGCGCTGCGGTGTCACCGCACCGTCCCCGCGGCCGGCACGCTGCTCGCATTCCTCCTAATTTGATTTTAAGCAGTTAAGTCGCATCTCGCTTTGAAGCACCAGAGCCATCTGTTCTGCATTAACGGGTGAAAAACGGTGCGGGCAGGAGAGGCGCCTCCTAATTCCCCTCTGAGCTCGCAGTGGTACCTGGCTGCCGAGCCCTTGGGGACAGGGCACAGGAGGGAGGAAAGCGCCAGATTCCCTGGATTCCCTGGTGTTCCACAGCAGGGCAGGGGTTCCTCCCCATCTCAGTTTCCCCACAGTGATGCTCTGCCGCATTCACGGAGCTGGTAGCAGCAATCCCAAGATCTCAGGGATGAGCCATGGCTCCCAGCTCATCCGGGTGGATGCTGCTCCCGTGTATCCGGGATCACCCTGGACCCTGCGGCTCCCGTGGCTCCAGGGCCTGCGGCCAGTTTCCCGATTGCCGGTTTGTGCCGCTGCCTCCCCCGCCCAAACCAAGGGTCATTACTGCTAATTCTGCCTCTCCCCATCTGCTGTGACTGTTTACACTCCACTCGCTAATTAGAGGCTAATTAGTCGGTGCAGAAATTCATCACTTCCCAAACCCGGGCGGCTGCGGTGGTCCAGGAGCAGCTGCACATCTGCCGGTGGCACGGCGCTCCGGGCGGGCATCCCACGGGCTCCGGAGCGCCCCTGGAAACCGCGGGATGAGCCGGGAGCCCGGCTCTCCCCTGCCACCAACCAGTGCCATTTGAACGCTCCTAATCCCCACTAATGGGATGAGCGTCTTGGCCCTGGCACTTTATTTACACGGGGGCTGCGCCCAGCTGCGTCCCAGCGCGAGCGGCCGCATTAGCGGATATAGGGCAGCCGCCCCAAGAGCCGTAATGGATCCTAGGGGCGGCCCTGATTGGCGGATAGAGGGCAGCCGCCCCAAGAGCCGTAATGGATCCTAATGCCCGGCAAAATGGGCCGCTCGGGAACTAAGCCACTTCCACCCGCCCGCAAATCCCTCCTGATGGGAAGTTTTAAGCTCCGAGGAAGCCAACCTGAAGCTTTGCCAAGGGCACGGCGTGTCGGGGGCAGCCTGGGGGATGGAGGGATCCAGTCTTGGCCATCCCTGCCTCAGTTTCTCCATGAGAAGTAGCAATTCCCAGCGTCGGGAATTCCCGGGATGCAGAGCCACAGGATGCAGCTGCCACATAGCAGGATGCCCCGGCACAGACCCCGGCGCCCGGAGGCCGAGCGGATCCCCTTGCTCGAGGCTATCACAGCCCAACGCAGCACGCCGAGATTAAAAAACAATAACGAGAAAGCGAAACCCGCCGCTATAATTACCAGCCTTAGCTGCCAGCGGAGGCCGGGGAAGGAGGGAGGGGAGGAACATGGGGAGAAGAGAAATGGAGAAGCAGAAATCCACTAAAATTTTAATAGGAACCACTGCATTTAATTTAACGACACATTTTTTCAATTACCAGAATAATTGTTTTATTCATAAAACGTGTTTCAATAAGGAGGGTAATTTTCCTTTGTTTTTATTATTCATCAGTGCAGCGCATTGGCCGCGCGGTCCCCGGCGCCGCGGCACGGCAGGGGTTAAGGCTCCCGGCGCTCCCGGTGCCCACGGGCCGCTCCGGTGCCCCATCCCGCCCCCTCACCGCTCCTTCACGCCTGCCTGGCTTTTCCAAGGCGGAATTTTTTCCGTCTTTGCTAAATATAGTGGCGGTGCTGGCGGCGCTCCCAGCTCCACGGCCGGAGCCACGCGGAGGAGTGGAGCCAGCCGGCCGGGCCAGCTCCACGCGAAGGAGCCGCTGCCTTTCCAAGCCATTCCCAGGTGCTATTCCCAGGAAAAGCATCGATTTTTCACTGGCTCTGGTAAGGCAATCTCGCCTGTGAAACGGCACACAGCACCCAAGCTGGACACAGAGAGCATGGCCCTGCATCCCGCATCCTGGATCCACATCCCGGCCAGTGCTCGCTTGCCGAACCCAGCAGATGCCTGCGGATTAGCAGCGCTCACCGGCACTACCGGAGCCATTAGTATTCTGGAGATGAGCCCACTTTCCTTTAATAAAATACAAACAGAGTCGCCGAGTGCTACCTGCACCTGGGGAGCCGCGTGCGCCCGGGGACGGGTGCGCAATGGGCACGGGGCGCCAAGTGGGTGCTGAGTCCCAGCAAACTCAGCACACATGTGACTGCGCATGCAGACGGCCTGCTCCTCCATGTGCTTTTTTATATTTTCCCCCCTTCTCTGCTACTAGAAAAGGAAGTAATTGCAGACGTGCCCATAAATCCCTGCAACTCCCTCTGCTCCCGTCCTTGACCGCCTCCCTCTCCCCTTCTCCCAGCCATGGAGCTTTAAAAAACTCCTCCTGGCTATTAATTAAAAGCAACCTCTCCGCCATGGCGGGCGTGCTGGACGGACACCGTCCTGCGGCGGGAAAGCCCGGCCACGCAGGAGCGGAGGGACAGACGGACACGGCGCGGTCAGGCCGTCTCCGCTGCATCTTCCCTTCCTCCTCTCGCTGCTGTCTCCAGGCCCATCCTTATTTATTTATTTGCTAATTAGCTGCTGTTTCCATAACAAACGCTCCAGCTTCTCCCAGCCTCCATCAGCCCTGGGGCTGGATTGTTAACCAGGATTTTAATTTGTTAATTAAAAGCAGGATGCCTCCGTAACAAGCTCCGCTTCCGCGGCCGGGCTCTCCCAGGGCTCTGTGGGCCGGCGGCAGCAGCGGGAGCTCATGGCCTTTTCCAAGTGAAAGGTTGAGTCCCATGGAACAGCAATGCCAGGGATGCGGATGGTGGGGATGGAGCCGCCCTCCTTTTGGGGTCCGTCCCCGTGTCCCCATCCCCAGGCATTAGCTGCTTTAGCACCGGGCAGAGCAGCCCGGGACGGTGCCAAGGAGAGACGTCAGCCATGCAGCGACCCAAATGCAGGGATCCGAATGCAGGGACCCTAATGCAGGGACCCAAATGCAGGGACCCAAATGCAGGGATCCAAATGCAGCGACCCAAATGCAGGGATCCGAATGCAGGGACCCTAATGCAGGGACCCAAATGCAGGGACCCAAATGCAGGGATCCAAATGCAGCGACCCAAATGCAGGGATCCGAATGCAGGGACCCTAATGCAGGGACCCAAATGCAGGGATCCAAATGCAGCGACCCAAATGCAGGGATCCGAATGCAGGGACCCTAATGCAGGGACCCAAATGCAGGGACCCAAATGCAGGGATCCGAATGCAGGGACCCTAATGCAGGGATCCGAATGCAGGGACCCAAATGCAGGGATCCAAATGCAGGGACCCAAATGCAAGAGCCCAGTACCTGGCCCCGAATGCAGGGACCCAAATGCCAGGCCCCCAGGAGGACAAGGTGCCCGCCAGCTGCCAGCCTTTTCCCCTGCACCAGCAGCGGGACATGCCACCCGCAGCAGGACGTCCATCAGCCCTGGCAGTGCTGGGCAGGGGAAGAACGTGGGATTGCCACGGGAGGGGACACCAGGCACGGGGGCTCTGCGGCACTGGGACCGCTGGGACAGAAACCCTGGAGAGCAGGGACAGGAGGGGGCATCACTGGGATGCGCAATGCACAGGGATGCACAAGGATGCACGGGGATGCACGGGGATGCACAGGGCAGTCGCAGCCCGCCCGCCAGCCCCTCTCTTCCCTCCTGCTCGGCTCTGCCAAGGAGGCGGACGTCACCAGATCGATGGCTCCGTCTCCCGGGGTCTTCGGGCCCGGGGCCATTTGGCAGCACTGAGGCCTTTGGCTGCGCTCCCTGCACCAAGGCCGGGCCAGCCGCAGCGCTGGGAACAGAGACGCATGGAAACCACAGGGCCTCATCCAGGGGGGCGGATGGGAGCCGGGGGGACACCTGGAATGCACAGGTAGGACGTCCCCAGGTTGCAGCCAGCGCATCCCTGCACACGATGCATCCCGGTCCCCATGCACGGCCCAGCCTGCCCCTGTGCCCGGCCAATCCCATCCCCGCGCCCGGCACAGCCATCCGGCTCCGTCTGGAGCTCCTTCCCCAGCAAACCCTGCCGAGGCCGTGAGGAGGCTCCTCGGTATCTGGGTCACTGCGGTGAGTCACGGAGACCCGTGGAGTGACTCAACGCTCTGCCGGAGCCGGCGCCCGGCCCGGAGCAGCTCCCAGCGCCAGCAGGAGGGAGGGGAGACGCGCACGATCCGCAGGTGAGGGCTGGAGAAGGGGCCGGAGAGCCCACGGTGCCAGTGAAGGATGGGGATGTGCAGCCGGCGAGCCCCAAGTGCAGCGCCAGGCTGGATTTTGCCCCGCACATACGAAATGCACAGAGCAAATCCTCTGGGAATTCCTGGAGAGCATCCGCAGCCCTGGGCCCGTGGAGGCTCCCTGCCCTGACCCCCCCCCCAAACCAGCTGGGAGCCTCCCGGCATCCCCGTTCCTCCGGGACAGCCGCAGCTCCCGCCGGCACACGGACCCGCAGACCAGCAGCAGCGCTTCCCCATTGAGAAATAGGATGGGGAAAGGAAAAAATAAATAAATAAAAGAAGAAAGAGGAACCACAAGAAAAGGCCGGCTCAGCCTTTCCCACGACGCTGACGCAATCCCGCGGGATGCAAAACCCTGCGCCAGATCCCGGCCCCCGCACCCGAAGCAAATGCCGCGTCCGAGGGCCCCGCTCCACACCACATCCCGAGGAAGCGGCCGGGAGGGGAGCTGGCATTTCGGGACAGCAGGCCTGGATTTACTGCGGGTGCTGCCCAGACTTCCTCTCCCCAATGTTTTAATTAGCAATGCCGTCGCTCATCTTAAACACAAATAGCTGCAGCCTGAGTGCAAATAGCAGTGAGGCAGCTTTTCCTTGGGAAAAGCCTTTTCCAGGGCTTCTTGTCTCGCTTGCACGCAGAGGAGGGACGGGAATAATTCACAGTGCAGTGTCTGCCCTTCAGCTCTTCATGAAGATCCCGCATTCCCGGGGTGGAGAAGCAAGCCCTGACCATTGCACTGAACAGGCCGCTGGCAGCAAAGCCAGAGCGCTCGCTGCACGCGGGGACACGGATGCACACACGGCACATGGATGCAGGGGGCTAAACGCTTCCCAGCAGCCACAGCGAGTGCCAAATTAAACATCCCCCCGAATTAGTTGATTTTATTATTCATGAGCGCGCCGAGGAACTCGTTATCACTGAGCAGCGGCTCCCTCAGCCGAGCGCGGCCACGGGGACGGCGGGGGGGGGGCCCGGCGGGCCGGCCGC